GTTTCTATTTTCGCCTTTGTTTGCGGCTGCAGCCTGTATCAACTTCGAGTTGAGGTGGAGCACCGACCGCCTCCCGGGTACGTCCCCCTTCTTTATTTTGTCTTTGGTGAGGTAGCTCCGGGGAGCTGTAGGGGCTTACCCCAGAAAACCAGTGTTGAATGTAATGAAACGCCAATTTCTGGGCGAGTCCCGGAGACTCCCCGGCAACCCTCTCTCCCTCCGGTAGGTGTTTTTTTCGCATATTTTGATATCCAGCCTCAGAACTGCAAGTTGGATCGCCGGCACAGTGGTCTGGGGCTCCCCTTCCCCCTCCCAGGGAGGGGGGAAGCTGCACAGACATGCGGTGCGGCTCGTCTAGTGTGACGTCGTGCTTGTTTGCCCGTTTTTAATTGGGGAGTTCTGTCCACTCATTTTCAATTGGGGAGTTCTGTCCACTCATTTTCAATTGGGGAGTTCTGTCCACTCATTTTCAATTGGGGAGTTCTGTCCACTCATTTTCAATTGGGGAGTTCTGTCCACTCATTTCAATTGGGGAGTTCTGTCCACTCATTTTCAATTGGGGAGTTCTGTCCACTCATTTTCAATTGGGGAGTTCTGTCCACTCATTTTCAATTGGGGAGTTCTGTCCACTCATTTTCAATTGGGGAGTTCTGTCCACTCATTTTCAATTGGGGAGTTCTGTCCACTCATTTTCAATTGGGGAGTTCTGTCCACTCATTTTCAATTGGGGAGTTCTGTCCACTCATTTTCAATTGGGGAGTTCTGTCCACTCATTTTCAATTGGGGAGTTCTGTCCACTCATTTTCAATTGGGGAGTTCTGTCCACTCATTTTCAATTGGGGAGTTCTGTCCACTCATTTTCAATTGGGGAGTTCTGTCCACTCATTTTCAATTGGGGAGTTCTGTCCACTCATTTTCAATTGGGGAGTTCTGTCCACTCATTTTCAATTGGGGAGTTCTGTCCACTCATTTTCAATTGGGGAGTTCTGTCCACTCATTTTCAATTGGGGAGTTCTGTCCACTCATTTTCAATTGGGGAGTTCTGTCCACTCATTTTCAATTGGGGAGTTCTGTCCACTCATTTTCAATTGGGGAGTTCTGTCCACTCATTTTCAATTGGGGAGTTCTGTCCACTCATTTTCAATTGGGGAGTTCTGTCCACTCATTTTCAATTGGGGAGTTCTGTCCACTCATTTTCAATTGGGGAGTTCTGTCCACTCATTTTCAATTGGGGAGTTCTGTCCACTCATTTTCAATTGGGGAGTTCTGTCCACTCATTTTCAATTGGGGAGTTCTGTCCACTCATTTTCAATTGGGGAGTTCTGTCCACTCATTTTCAATTGGGGAGTTCTGTCCACTCATTTTCAATTGGGGAGTTCTGTCCACTCATTTTCAATTGGGGAGTTCTGTCCACTCATTTTCAATTGGGGAGTTCTGTCCACTCATTTTCAATTGGGGAGTTCTGTCCACTCATTTCAATTGGGGAGTTCTGTCCACTCATTTTCAATTGGGGAGTTCTGTCCACTCATTTTCAATTGGGGAGTTCTGTCCACTCATTTTCAATTGGGGAGTTCTGTCCACTCATTTTCAATTGGGGAGTTCTGTCCACTCATTTTCAATTGGGGAGTTCTGTCCACTCATTTTCAATTGGGGAGTTCTGTCCACTCATTTTCAATTGGGGAGTTCTGTCCACTCGTTTGTCTATTTTTGTTGTTTTTAACCAGAATAGGGGTTTGTTTTGTGGCACTTACCTCTCTAGGTGCCTGTCCCAGTCAATGGCAGATATAAAATGCTCCAAAATCACATGTGCATTCTATGGGCCATTGCTCCCTGTGCCTCTCTGAGGGGGCCAGGTTCTGGCTCGTGGTCCCCAGTAGGCCTAGAACTCCACCGACATCGACTGATGCCAAAGTTAGGGATATCCATATCAGCCTGGATAGCTCCGGGAAGCCTCCGGGACTCACCCAGAAAATGGCGTTTCATTACATTCAACGCTGTTTTTTTTTGTTTCTGAACATAAAAATTCTTATTATATATCACGCCATGGGTTCCAAGAAAGTCAGAGGTAATGTTGAAACGAAGAAAATAGTTGAGGATTGACGATAGAGAAAAAAACAAGAGATCATTAATAGGGAGATATTGTGATGTCTCACTATAGACAAGAGTTAAAACGTAGGGAAGACAAGTGTCTATAGACAGATTCTTAGTAAGACAAGCAAGCAGTGAGCCACAACCAGGTCCTAGTGGGATGCCTGCAAAATGTAAGAGAGAGAGTACCACAGAAATGTCATCACTGCTGCTATAATAATGGAAAGGGACTCCCCTTCCAATCACCAACACCTCTCCTCCTCCTTCCCCCCTTCCTCACTGTTTTCCACATGCCAACAATGGTCCTTAACACTTTGACACTCTGGGCGCGCAAGCTCCGCACTACCCCTGCTGGGTTTGGGCATTCCACGGGAGTGCACGGTAATTCTAAAAATTGTATACTCTTTTCAACTTTTTCACCTCAATTCTCGTCCTAAGGTATTCAATTTGGTATCAATGTGTTCACAATAGAATTCCCTAGACAAATAAATGCATATAAACTTTAAAAGCCTGGCTTACCATCTGCAGCAAACCGAGAAAGTGAGAGCGAGTTACCCGGGAGCGCGCAAAAACAATAAAATGTGTACACTCTTTTCACTTTGGTCACCTCAATTTTTGGCCTAGGTCTTTCATTTTGATATCAATGGGTTTGCAATAGAATTCTCTAGAGGAGTATATGCATATAAAATAAAAAACCTGGTCACGCTCCATCCGTGGACAAGTTGAAGACGGGCCACGCATCACCCGCGAGGGAGCGCCCAGTCGCCCACCTGCTACACTCCCAATTCCCGCCCACAAATGTTTAGTATTTTTTCCGATTGCTAACATCAATTTTCGGGGTACAGCGCTCATTTTGGTATGAAAGTGATCCTAATAGAATGCTTTAGATGGATATATGCATATAAGGGCAAATTGAAGAACAATATTGCTAATACAATACAATAAAGTAGAGACAACACTATAAACTATATAAAAAACTAAAACTTTTTGTACTTACCAATACAGTGTTGTTTATGGAGCATGACATGGGTTGAACATTAGTTTTATCCACTCCACCTGCTCCAGGAAAACGTTTCCTGAAGAGTCAACCCATGTTTTTTTTATAGGTGGAGTGGATGGTGGGCAAGCATTACTGTTTATCAGCCAAGCATTGCCTCTTTCAATGGTATTTGCTATAGCATGGTGCAGGACACAGTGGCACATCACACTTGGCAGCAGGGAAGACCCCCTCAATTATAGACCTGTATCATTGACAAGTGTAATAGTGAAAGTATTGGAAAAGCTAATCAAAACTAAATGGGTAGAACACCTGGAGAGAAATGATACAATATCAGACAGACAGTATGGTTTTCGATCTGGAAGATCCTGTGTATCGAATTTACTCAGTTTCTATGATCGAGCCACAGAGATATTACAGGAAAGAGATGGTTGGGTTGACTGCATCTATCTGGACCTAAAAAAGGCTTTCGACAGAGTTCCACATAAGAGGTTGTTCTGGAAACTGGAAAATATTGGAGGGGTGACAGGTAAGCTTCTATCATGGATGAAAAATTTTCTGACTGATAGAAAAATGAGGGCAGTAATCAGAGGCAATGTATCGGAATAGAGAAATGTCACAAGTGGAGTACCACAGGGTTCAGTTCTTGCACCAGTGATGTTTATTGTGTACATAAATGATCTACCAGTTGGTATACAGAATTATATGAACATGTTTGCTGATGATGCTAAGATAATAGGAAGGATAAGAAATTTAGATGATTGTCATGCCCTTCAAGAAGACCTGGACAAAATAAGTATATGGAGCACCACCTGGCAAATGGAATTTAATGTTAATAAATGTCATGTTATGGAATGTGGAATAGGAGAACATAGACCCCATACAACCTATATATTATGTGAGAAATCTTTAAAGAATTCTGATAAAGAAAGAGATCTAGGGGTGGTTCTAGATAGAAAACTATCACCTGAGGACCACATAAAGAATATTGTGCAAGGAGCCTATGCGATGCTTTCTAACTTCAGAATTGCATTTAAATACATGGATGGCGATATACTAAAGAAATTGTTCATGACTTTTGTTAGGCCAAAGCTAGAATATGCAGTTGTTGTGTGGTGCCCATATCTTAAGAAGCACATCAACAAACTGGAAAAGGTGCAAAGACATGCTACGAAGTGGCTCCCAGAACTGAAGGGCAAGAGCTACGAGGAGAGGTTGGAAGCATTGAACATGCCAAAACTAGAAGACAGAAGAAAAAGAGGTGATATGATCACTACATACAAAATAGTAACAGGGATTGATAAAATCGACAGGGAGGATTTCCTGAGACCTGGCACTTCAAGAACAAGAGGTCATAGATTTAAACTAGCTAAACACAGATGCCGAAGAAATATAAGAAAATTCACCTTCGCAAATACTGTAGAGTGGTAGACGGTTGGAACAAGTTAAGTGAGAAGGTGGTGGAGGCCAAGACCGTCAGTAGTTTCAAAGCGTTATATGACAAAGAGTGCTGGGAAGACGGGACACCACGAGCGTAGCTCTCATCCTGTAACTACACTTAGGTAATTAAAAAAATTACTTATAGTGTGTCCCCCTCCTTTTACCAGACATTCTGCAAACACAACACCTCAGACGCTTCTCTGTCTTTACTTGGGTATGGGACAAGTTTTTGTTGAGACGTTCTGGATTATCCACAATACAGGGTTTTGTCCTAGCAGAAGCACCACTAGGGATAATTAGAGTCTCGTCTTCTGACTCAGACGATGAAGGTACAGCTACAGGTACGGGTGAAGTGAATAGTGGGCGCCTCACACCTGAAGGTCCTGGTGTTGATGGTCTGGGTGTTGCAACATTGGCTCCAGTGGCATTTACATCAGGAGCATGTGGGATGTCATCATTTTGCTGAGGCCATTTACTAGGATGATAGAACAGTAGTGCCGAAATGACTTCTTCCTGTAAATGAAGTAATGAGTTTCCTTCTATCTGTTGTGTAGTATTTGTACATCACATAAGCATTGTGGATAGCCATTTGCAAAAAATAGAAGGTCATTTTCTTCATCCATTTGAGATGTTTCCTTGTGAAGTGATAATATTTGACCATTTGGTCTAAGTGATCAACGCCTTTCATGTTTGTACTGTAGTCACAGATTGTGTTTGGCTTGTTGACAGTGACCTGTTGCACTGAAGATGTTCCATCTCGATTCCGTACTCGTTTCCTATGTTTGACTTCTTGTGTATCTACATTGTGGCAAGTTGTTATGAGTGAAACAACTCGCTTATCTTTCCACAAAATTATGAAAGTATTGTCCTTCCGTTTGAATACAGTTTTATCTACCGGCAATTCACCCTTTGCACTGATCTGAAGGGTTTTAGGTGCACCATGTAGCATTCTGATAGTACCACAGGTGTATACCCCTACTTCAAGCAATAATTCACTCAATCGAACTAAATTATAATAGTTGTCTATATATAAATGGTAACCGTTGTTCTTCAATGGTTCAATCAAGCCCATTACCACTTCAATTGTCGTTTTCCCAATTCCTGCATAAATTTCAAAATCAAAGATGTAGCCAGTCTTGGATTCAGCTAGCATGTAGAGCTTTATTCCATATTTATCATGTTTATTGGGATTATAAGTCTTGAAAGCTAGACGGCCACGCCATGGCATTGTGCCTTCATCCAAACTCAAATTTTTCTGAGGAATGTATAATGTCTTGAATTTCTGCGTGAGATATTGCATGACTTATTGAACTTTGATTAGTCTGTCTAGATTGTGGCCTTGTGGAATGGACTTATTGTTATAAATATGAAAATACTTTCCAATCATTTCATATCGTTTAGAAGTCATAAACATATTGAAATAAGGTATGTGCCAGAATCTGCCCGTTTGCCAGTACATTCTAATTCTTGGCAACGGGCAAATACCCATCAAGATCGTCAGTCCCAAATATCGTGCCATGTCTTTCACGGTCATTGGTTCCCATTTCTTGTTTGTCGTTGTCCCAGTATGTACATTGTTTTGGGAAGCATACAAATTAGTTTCATAAGTCATATATTTTAGTAAGCTTTGAGTGAGAAATAGTTGAATAAAACCCAAAGCAGTTGTAGGTACAGGAACAGTCAAGCCTGGTGTGGCTGTAAAACTGTCTACAAAGGATTGAGTATTGTCACTACACCACCCTTCATCAGAACCTGTTGGTGGTGGGGTACGTGTGGTACGTTTGGCTCTGGCATGAACTCCAGTACCTCACCATGCACGTGTGGCACTCTCAACCTCAGACTCCTCACTTCCATCACTATCAAAATCCTCCTCTGCTGTTTCTGTTTCAATACATTCACTAACTTCATCAGTGTCAGTCTCAACAACACTTTCGTCACTAGATAACTCAGACAATTCATCAAATACAGCCTGAAACTTAGAGGGTGTGAGTCGCACTCGCTTGTATTTCTCGTGTACACTACTTAGCTTCTCACTCTAACGCTTTGTTTTCGGTGATTTCTTCCTGGAAGGGTCTTGTTCATGATCACTATTCATCGTGGAGTAAGCGCAGATAGTATCTAAAGCCCCACTAAGAAATATAGCCACGGAAAATAGCCGAAATGTTCACATGTTGTGGAGGCGAGGGGAAGAGTGACCGGTCACAACAATGGAGCGAAAACAGTGGACCTATGGCGCGGCCCGCGCCGCCTGGGTGCCACATGGCCTAACAAAGAGAACAGGAAGACGTTGGTGCTCAGTTTAAAATCAGTTCAAAAGAATTCGGATAAAAACCGGATTTTCTGCAAATATTTTAATGAACGACGCAATGCTGCATCGTTACTGGACCACCCTCGAGTAAAAGAACGACGCAATGCTGCGTCGTTACCGAGCCAAAGTGTTGAATTAATAAAGGTAAGCTGCCTAAGAGTATTATTCTGTATAAAATGTATTTTTTAGTTAATATATTTGGGAGTGTGGAACGGAAAAAATATATTTGTTAATATATTTGGGGGGAAAATTCGTGTTTTTTTTTTTTCAGTTTTCATGCTGTCTCTTGCTGTTTCATGTTTCATGCTGGCAACAGATTAAATACGAAAACTGAGGTACCACTGTACAGTAACTTATTTTTGGCACACCACAAATTTGTCATATTATAATGCAGTGCAGTACAGGGGTTAAAATACTTGATCAGATACTTCACGAATGAAAAGTACAGTAGTTAATATTGCTCTTTAGTACAATACTTTCATTAGTTTAGGAACACTGAAGAAGCAGTCATGGGTTAATTGTAACTTTAACCCTTTAACAGCACAAATTGTATTGTATATATATACAGTTTTGGTCTAACTGCCTGCACAACACACATCGTATATATATATATATATATATATATATATATATATATATATATATATATATATATATATATATATATATATATATATATATATATATATATGTATATATATATATGTATATATATATGTATATATATATATATATATATATATATATATGCAGAATAACCACATATGAAAAATAGAAACTGCTTAACGCGTTTTCGGCTAATTCGCCTTCATCAGAGCAAAGTAGAATGAAGATAAGATTGCTGATCAGACCTTTATATTCGCCTGGGCAGATCACCTGACCACCAAAAATAAGTGGAGGAAAGGAATTATAAGAAAGAAGGTAACTGCAGAAGGCCTATTGGCCCATACAAGGCAGCTCCTATGAATATCTCCAAGTGCCATACGTGTTTAAATGATTGCTATATTGTTTTGACGTGCTATATTGAGGCTTAAATAGGGATCCAACTTGTACATACCGGGGCTCACATTAAGGCTGTTGTTACAATGTTTGATCAGAGCAGACTCGATCACGTTTCGTTCAACAAAATCCTTACTTTTAACAATACATTTTGCCCCTGTGAAGTCGATAGAATGATTACATAAACTGGAATGTAAATACAATGCACTGGATTGCTGGGCTGTACGAATAGCGTATGAATGCTGTTTTAAACGCGAGGAAAGAGATTTACCTGTCTGGCCGATGTAAACACATGCACACTCATTACAAGGGATGGAATACACACACCCTGCTACAGACGAGGGCGAGTTCTTAATTAACATGGACTTAACTGTATTATCATTTTTGAACAAAAATGACTTTTGAACAAAAATCTTTTGAACAAAAATGTTTTAAACGCGAGGAAAGAGATTTACCTGTCTGGCCGATGTAAACACATGCACACTCATTACAAGGGATGGAATACACACAACCTGCTACAGACGAGGGCGAGTTCTTAAAAATGATAATACAGTTAAGTCCATGTTAATTAAGAACTCGCCCTCGTCTGTAGCAGGTTGTGTGTATTCCATCCCTTGTAATGAGTGTGCATGTGTTTACATCGGCCAGACAGGTAAATCTCTTTCCTCGCGTTTAAAACAGCATTCATACGCTATTCGTACAGCCCAGCAATCCAGTGCATTGTATTTACATTCCAGTTTATGTAATCATTCTATCGACTTCACAGGGGCAAAATGTATTGTTAAAAGTAAGGATTTTGTTGAACGAAACGTGATCGAGTCTGCTCTGATCAAACATTGTAACAACAGCCTTAATGTGAGCCCCGGTATGTACAAGTTGGATCCCTATTTAAGCCTCAATATAGCACGTCAAAACAATATAGCAATCATTTAAACACGTATGGCACTTGGAGATATTCATAGGAGCTGCCTTGTATGGGCCAATAGGCCTTCTGCAGTTACCTTCTTTCTTATAATTCCTTTCCTCCACTTATTTTTGGTGGTCAGGTGATCTGCCCAGGCGGATATAAAGGTCTGATCAGCAATCTTATCTTCATTCTACTTTGCTCTGATGAAGGCGAATTAGCCGAAAACGCGTTAAGCAGTTTCTATTTTTCATATGTGGTTATTCTGCATACTTGGATCAGTGTTTTTGTGATCATTGTTGCATATATATATATATATATATATATATATATATATATATATATATATATATATATATATATATATATATATATATATATATATATATATATATATATATATATATATATATATATATATATATATATATATATATATATATATATATATATATATATATATATATTAGTATATTTTGGTAGCAGTCTTTCCTGTAGACATATATTATTAAATATGACCTGTGTATCAGGTACCAGTGTAAAAATGTCGTCAACATACCTGCAGTATATGGCCGGTTTCAAGTTCATGTCGACTAAGACTTTTTGCTCGATGGTACCCATGTAGAAGTTTGCAAACAGGACACCTAGGGGAGAACCCATGGCGACCCCATCTACTTGCTTATACATGTGTCCATCCGGGTTCAAGAAGGGTGCCTCTTTAGTACAAGCTTGGAGTAGTTTCCTTAGGATATTTTCTGGTATGTCAAGAGGAGTATAGGCTGGATCACGATACACTCTTATCGGCTATCATCCCGATTGTCTCGTCCACAGGTACGTTGGTGAACAGTGATTCTACGTCCAACGAGGCTCTTATCCCTGTGGCCCGTGTGCCCCGCAGTAAGTCAACAAATTCTTTTGGAGACTTCAGGCTGAAGGCGCAAGGGACATAAGGAGTCAGCAGGCCGTTGAGTCGCTTCGCCAGTCTGTTAGTGGGTGTGGGTATCTGGTTAATGATTGGCCGAAGTGGGTTTCCAGGCTTGTGTGTCTTAACATTTCCATATGCATATCCAGGTTTATATTCCCCAATAATCTTTGGCAGGTGGAGTCCTGATTTCTTGGCGTTCACAGTTTCGATCAGTTTGTTGACCTTTGCTTTCAATTCGGCTATACCCCCTATTAGACTATTTTACAGGAACTTCTTTTCCACAGCTCATAAAACAGAGGAAAGGGTCCTGAAAGATATTGTTAATAGAAACGTTATCCCTACAGACAAAAATCAGAGGATACAACTGACGATTTACTATAAAACCAGAAAAACGGCCAGCCTACTCATGAGAAACTCTCCAGACACAAAGCAGAACGCTTTAAAAGAGACCAACGTCGTCTATGCCTTCAAATGCCCTCTTGGGGACTGTAAGCTCCAAAAAACCCAGTATATAGGCAAGACAACAACATCTCTTTCTAGGCGTTTAACGATGCATAAGCAACAGGGCTCCATTAAGGAACATATAATCTCTTCCCACAACCAAACCATCGCCAGAGAAATCCTAGTAAACAACACAGAAATCATCGATAGATACAGCGATAGCAGGCGGCTTGACGTTTGCGAGGCACTACACATTAAGAAGTCAACACCAGCAATCAACAGCCAATTAATGCACAACTATATTCTACCCACCTCAAGACTCCGCTCCAATATAGAAGCATCAAGAAATATGGACCAATAGGCTTTCTACAATCACTTCCATTTCAATACCCATTGTTTCGTGTTCTGTCTTGTGTTGATGAATTTAATACCCAATTAAAACCACCTCACCCCATCCACCTCACTCAAATGTAGATATAAACAAATCGGAGATGTGTAAGTTCTATTCAGTTGTGTATGTGTAAACTAAAGTCTTTGAAAATGTAATAAGTTTTACGAAACGCGCTCAAGTGTCGCGTCAGACTAGAAATAAAAATGAATTTTGGAGAATTGATTTTTGAATTACCTCCAACAGTGAAAAGAAATGTACGAAAGATTGAGAAAATTCGTGTTAGAATTATTAATCTTACTTTTTCGGTCATATTTAATAATATGTTAAGGATTGGTGCCTAGTCAATCCTCCCCGGCCAAAGCACTCAAAAAGCACTGGGTGAGTGAGTGTTTTAACACTTTCACTGGGACTAATGTCATTGCTACCTCCCCCCCTCCCTTCCTAAATTATTATTATTAATTTTCCTATTCTGAACTAGAACTATATATTTTTTAAATATATATATATATATATATATATATATATATATATATATATATATATATATATATATATATATATATATATATATATATATATTTTGGTAGCAGTCTTTCCTGTAGACATATATTATTAAATATGACCGAAAAAGTAAGATTAATAATTCTAACACGAATTTTCTCAATCTTTCATACATTACGCTTCACTGTTGGAGGTAAATCAAAAATCACTTCTCCAAAATTCATTTTTATTTCTAGTCTGACGCGACACGGGCGCGTTTCGTAAAACTTATTACATTTTCAAAGACTTCACAAATACACAACTGATTAGAACTTACGTCTCTCTGATATTATATCTACATTTGAGTGAGGTGGGAAGGGTGATGTGGCATTAACACAAGACAGAACAGGAGGGGATATTAATAGGGTATTAAAAGTATCAACACAAGACAGAACAGAAACAATGGGTATTGAATAGAAGTGTTTGTAGAAAGCCTATTGGTCCATATTTCTTGATGCTTCTATATTGGAGCGGAGTCTTGAGGTGGGTAGAATATAGTTGTGCAATAATTGGCTGTTGATTGCTGGTGTTGACTTCTTGATGTGTAGTGCCTCGCAAACGTCAAGCCGCCTGCTATCGCTGTATCTATCGATGATTTCTGTGTTGTTTACTAGGATTTCTCTGGCGATGGTTTGGTTATGGGAAGAGATTATATGTTCCTTAATGGAGCCCTGTTGCTTATGCATCGTTAAACGCCTAGAAAGAGATGTTGTTGTCTTGCCTATATACTGGGTTTTTTGGAGCTTACAGTCCCCATGTGGGCATTTGAAGGCATAGACGACGTTAGTCTCTTTTAAAGCGTTCTGTTTTGTGTCAGTTACGTCTCATGAGAAACTCTCCAGACACAAAACAGAACGCTTTAAAAGAGACTAACGTCGTCTATGCCTTCAAATGCCCACTTGGGGACTGTAAGCTCCAAAAAACCCAGTATATAGGCAAGACAACAACATCTCTTTCTAGGCGTTTAACGATGCATAAGCAACAGGGCTCCATTAAGGAACATATAATCTCTTCCCATAACCAAACCATCGCCAGAGAAATCCTAGTAAACAACACAGAAATCATCGATAGATACAGCGATAGCAGGCGGCTTGACGTTTGCGAGGCACTACACATCAAGAAGTCAACACCAGCAATCAACAGCCAATTATTGCACAACTATATTCTACCCACCTCAAGACTCCGCTCCAATATAGAAGCATCAAGAAATATGGACCAATAGGCTTTCTACAAACACTTCTATTCAATACCCATTGTTTCTGTTCTGTCTTGTGTTGATACTTTTAATACCCTATTAATATCCCCTCCTGTTCTGTCTTGTGTTAATGCCACATCACCCTTCCCACCTCACTCAAATGTAGATATAATATCAGAGAGACGTAAGTTCTAATCAGTTGTGTATTTGTGAAGTCTTTGAAAATGTAATAAGTTTTACGAAACGTGCCCGTGTCGCGTCAGACTAGAAATAAAAATGAATTTTGGAGAAGTGATTTTTTATTTACCTCCAACAGTGAAGCGTAATGTACGAAAGATTGAGAAAATTCGTGTTAGAATTATTAATCTTACTTTTTCGGTCATATTTAATAATATATATATATATATATATATATATATATGTCGTACCTAGTAGCCAGAACGCCCTTCTCAGCCTACTATGCAAGGCCCGATTTGCCTAATAAGCCAAGTATTCATGAATAAATATATTTTATCAATTTTTTTTCTTATGAAAAGAAAAAGCTATCCATTTCATTATGTATGAGGTCAATTTTTTTTATTGGAGTTAAAATTAACGTAGATATATGACCGAACCTAACCAACCCTACCTAACCTCACCTAACCTATCTTTATAGGTTAGGTTAAGTTAGGTAGCCGAAAAAGTTAGGTTAGGTTAGGTAGGTTAGGTAGTCGAAAAACAATTAATTCATGAAAACATGGCTTATTAGGCAAATCGGGCCTTGCATAGTAGGCTGAGAAGTGCGTTCTGGCTACTAGGTACGACATATATATATATATATATATATATATATATATATATATATATATATATATATATATATATATATATATATATATATATATATATTTAAAATTCCTGCAACTATACGGGGTTCACATCAGCTTCCTCAGAGCTCTAGTAAACAGACCCCATTTATAAAAAAAAAATCGTGGGGCAACATTCCCAGGTGTGAGAGCCTCAGTGCTGAGTGAGCAACCAAGGCTGGCACACGCAGCATGAGCTAACAGCACTGCTGTTCAGCTTGTGACCACAGCATCTCCTAAAAATGTCAAAATATATATGTAACTGCTATTATTTAGCTATGACAGTATTACAGAAGAGCCTGACTGTGATAAAGATTGTGTACAATGTTCAGATATCAGTGAACACAATGCTGTTCAAGATGCTCACAGCGCTAGCCACAGTAAACTGCTATTGTTTGGTCCATTTACGAATCTTGAAAATACTTCTCATGATCCTTTACAAATAAAGTCGTGGAAAATTATTAATTTACAGGATTTAATGATCAGGATTCTGATAATAGCAGCATTGTGGTGAGAATTATCGATGTGGATAGTATGGTGTGTGTGTGATCTTCGTGTGATCTTCGAGATCATCGAAGACTTGTCATGGGGATCGTCTCAAAGCCCTCCAAATGTACTCACTAGAAAGGAAGTGAGAGAGATACCAAAAAATATATATACATGGAAAATACTGGAGGGCCAAATCCCAAATCTACACAGTAAAATAACGATGTACTGGAGTGAACTATATGGACGAAAATGCAGAATAGAACCAGTGAAGAGCAGAGGTGCCATATGCACAAATAGAGAACACTGTATAAACATCAGAGGTCCACGGTTGTTCAACACCCTCCCAGCGAGCATAAGAAATATTGCCGGAACAACAGTGGACATCTTCAAGAGGAAACTAGATTGTTTCCTCCAAGGAGTGCCAGACCAACCAGGCTGTGGTGGGTATGTGGGCCTATGGGGCCACTCCAAGCAACAACCTGGTGGACCAAACTCTCACATGTCAAGTCTGGCCTCGGGCTGGGCTTGGGGAGTAGAAGAACTCCCAGAACTCCATCAACCAGGTATCAACCAGGTATGGTGGGAGGAGGAGTTTTACCTGGAGCAAACCTGGAGAGACTCCAGGTATAATTTCGGTTCTGGGAATTCTTCTACTCCCCAGTGAGTAGATGAGGGAGGGAGGTGGCATCATCAGCTGACTGTGTGGCAGCCACTGTTATTGTTTGGATTCACCATACCAGCTTAGTAGTTTGTTGTGGTGAACACAAATGTAGATACTTATATTTTACGTGTGTGTATATAGTGAAATAACAGCACAAACAGTATGCTGGGAGGAGCCATTTTGGTGAGTGAGGTGCCATCATCCGCTAGCTGCCGTATGACTTGTCATGCAGTGTATGGTGGCGGTTATGCTTTTTGATCATCATACCAGCTTAATTGTACAGTTATGTTGAACAAAACATGTAGATACTTATAAATATAATGTATGTGTATAGTGCAATAACAGTACAAACAGTATGGTGGTAGGAGGAATGTTGGTGAGGGAGGTAGTAGCAGTGTCACCTGACTGGTGTTGGTGGCCACTATGCTATTTAGATGCACCATACTAGCTTAGTGGTTCGCTATGGTGAACAAAACATGTAGATATTTATATATAACATGTGCATATAGTATAATAACAGAAAAAATATTTGCTTTATATTTTATGAATATAGTAATTGAATGACTAAAATGCACACCATGCTTTTGAGTATAGCGATGGTTCACTTGTTTTATTATACAAATATATCACACTACACGCTATTGAATAATATTACTGCAAAAAACAGAGAAAAAATCAATCAAAGACATTGAAATAATTACAAATATCTTTGTGGCAACTCCTGCCTCACAGCTCGGGTGGAGGAGACCGACCAAGACGTCTACTCTGTCAGCGCCTCAATTTTGCCAGATTTCCTCGCCTTATTGCGTCCAAAATATGTTATCTATGATTGTTTTATTATTTTTCCTGTGATCAGAGAACATATTTTAATAATCTTAGAGGGTTTTTTTCTTACAGCAGTGTTGTTGGCTATTAGCAGCAGCGCTGCCCAGAGATTAAAGTCTTATGAATTTTAATAGTAGGAGTCAGTGAGAGTTCAACCCTAACTTGGCACTGTGCTGCATCATTGAACATTGCCAGATTTACTTACAATTACAATGTTCTAAAATTTTATTTCAGGTAACTTGGTCATAATGGAGGGATCAGTGATGTATTCAGCAGGTGCTGAAGAAGGGACAGATTTGAATGAACTCATCCCAGATTTACCCGAGGGCCCGCTTAGCCAGTACCGGGCCAGAGCATCATTTAACTGGAAGAAGATGAAGGCACACATTGATCCTCCAGAAGTAATTGCTTTTATGGTATGATATCCTGATTACTGTAAAACTGTTTAAACTTTAAATATAGTTATTCTTAATATTACTCTTTTCAAACATCGTATTATATAGTGTTACAACTGCTCCTTGCAAGTAGGATACAGCCACCTCTCAGTGCTTGTTAAAGTGTAAATAAAGTAAATTGTTAAAAGTAAATTGTAAAAAATTGTAAATTGTAAATTGTAAAAAATTGTAAATTGTAAATTGTAAAAAATTGTAAATTGTAAATTGTAAAAAAAAATTGTAAATTGTAAATTGTAAATTGTAAATTGTAAAATGTAAAAGTTAATTGTTAGTGGAACAAATAGATAGAATATATAAAATATCAAATTGTATACAAGGATTATTTATGTTAGCTCCCTGAAACTAGCATACTGTTTAAGTGCCACATTACTTGGAGTCATTAGTCACAGAGTTCTTGTATGCCTACCAGAGACCAGAGCCAGAACCTGGCTCCCTCAGAGAGGTGTAGGGAGCAATGGCTCATGAACACATTACTTTTAAAGTTTATCATCTTGCCATTGACCAGGGAAGGTACCCAGAAACATAGGCAAATCAAAACAGACTATACTGCCTGGTTAAAAAATGCGACTTACTCTCTCAAAATATCAAAAGAACTTCCACACAAAGAGAACAAACAAGCAAAACCTCGTCCAACTAACCCCCCGCTTGTTAGTGCCAACCCTCCCCTCAGTGAGGGGAGGGGGGGCTCACTGGGGGGGAGGGGGCCCACTGGGGGGAGTGGGAGACAGCCCATTGAGCTGGGCCGCCCACCAGCCAGTTCTTGAATGATAAAAGCCATCATTCGGAGGGAGTGATGGAACCTACTGGGCGCACACAGAAACTGCCGTTTCATTACATTCAATGCTGGTTTTCTGTGGGGGAGCTTCATCAGCTCCCTGAAGCTAACTATCCACAGAGAAGGAAATACAGGGACTTACGAGGAAGGTGGCAACACTAGATATCAATCCGAGGAAGAGACATTCGGCCGCGACAGACACCCCAAAGCCACACAAGGCTGCAGAGGGCAAGGGATATTCACCAGACACCTGGTGGCCAAGACCCTGTTAGACCTCCAAAAAAATCTTTGCAAAATGTACAGCACAGAGTGTGTCCCGCAGGGTGTATCCCGCAGTGTGTCAAGAGGATCGGCGCCACATCTGTGTCACCCAAGGAAGGAAGAGGATACTTGTGATGCCAGGGAGCAGCCAAGGATGTGGTGTTGGATCTAAAGTGACACTCATGTGGTAGGAGACATTGAGACTATGCATGTGAATAGATTAACATTAGTATTAATGAAGGTTGAGAGCGGCCATTGACTGCAGACTTAATTGAGGCTATCCAAGACAATTAATTATTTATTTATGTAGTTTTTTTGTTAGTAAATATTCTTTTAGTTTTAAACGTTGTGTTTACATGTACCTTTATTACGATTACGCCATGTCATTTATATGTGAAAGCCTGACAATAGGGTACTGACTTGAGTTCAGGAATAAAGATTTAATAAAATTGGAGGAACGTAGCATCATGTTTCAAGTGGACTAGAGTAGAGAAATTGAAGTCATTTCTTGTGTACTGGGTGCATGTGAGAACCCCCATAATCACAATAGCTGGATAAAAAAGAGTTCGAGATAGACACCTGCCACCCTTTGACACATGCTGCTCTATCTCCCACTCTCTGGGGATAGAAGGTAGCCTAGTGAGTTCCCAGAGGTGCTGCAAGGTCCCTGTGTTTTGGGACTGGTGTACACAGGGGTTAAGTGCCAACTTCATCATGAAGGAAAATGAGTACAGAGCCAACAGTAAAGAGAGCAGTGACAGAGTGTTACCGTTAGAGCTCGACAAGGCTCTGCCCTTTGTCTTCCCCTGTGACACCAGCCTGTGATCTACCCTCATGCCCATGATGTTAGAAGTATGCTGTTCTCTCTACACTGTTGAAGCTCTGCAGTATCTCTTGAGCTTTTGTACTGAACCACTATTCCAGTTAGACCCAGACTGATGGAGATTTACTGTCGACAGCTTATATTACAACCTTCTTCTAACTTACCAAACTCACCAACATACCTAGCGATGCTTGTACACTTGGGAAGATATATTAATAGTAATTAGCTCATACAGGATTAGTGTAGAACTTAATGGAGTGCAGTATTCTCAGGGATAACTTAAGTGGCACATTTAATTGCTTGCACTGAAACTAATGAGAATTTGGAGCAATTATATTACTCCTTAATATAATTGCTACTCTGACCTCCTGGTTGCTTTCCCTGGTTGTATTGTGTAATGACTGGCATGTAAAGTCTAGCTTTTGTTATTGATGTAAATGTTTCTCTTAGTTAAAATACTAGTTTGTATTATTTGCGTTAATTTTTATATTTCATTTGTGTTTGTGTCGGGGTTTCGCGTCAGTAAGTTAAGTAACCGTGCTTAATATCCTGGCAATATCGACAATGTCGGGGTTTCTCTACCTCTCACCAGCCACTACCAAGTACTAGTAGTGGTAACTGTTACTTACTGTAGCCCTGCGGGTCTTCACTCCATCCTCGAGGTGCCACTGTTCACCTGGAGAGTTTCCCAGTCAATCTCCAGCCGGCCTCCTAGCCAAAGACGAGTGGGAACACAATCTACTCTCTTGATCATGTGCCCGCCCCGACAGAGGGCTCGACTGCTAACTGAAAGGTCGCCAATTGCTGTTCTCCGTGTCCAGTAACACGTCAGTGGTATTGTGGAATTGTGGTAATAGTGGCAGAGAGCTCACTAATTGAATTGAGTAACAGGCAGGTATGTATCTCAATCACTCTCTCTCTATATGGACTCAATAATCTCAATAGCAACAAGTAATGGAGGGATAATGCAAACATGAAGGTGGTTTTGTATTTTACTTAAAATATTAAAGTATTATCTCTATCAACAACAAGGCGATGAAGTTCATGGCAGCAGATCACTTCCCCTTCATAAACTGGAACACAACAAGATGGCAACACTCCCCCTCCTGTCATTCCCAGCTGCCACGCCCCCTCGCTGTATAATCTCTGTGTACTTGTTGTCCTGGTGTTAAGCGCCTATTTCTTTAAATTCACAGTAAACACAATAATGGCAATCAACACAGTAACTTGCTATAATGGCGTTAAACGCAATAATCATTGCACTGGCCTTAAGCTCAATAAATCATTTCAATGGCAATTAACGCAGTAACTCACAGTAATGGCATTAAACACCATATATCACAGTAATGGTAATAAATGCAATAAATCACTGTACTGGCCTTAAACACCGTAAGTCACTTCAATGGCAATATCACAGTAAATCACTGTACACATGAATATGTTATTCAATACTCCAGCATATATATAGATCACTTCATCAATATTAGCAATAATGAGTCAATACAGGGCACACAGCCTTATACTAATAAATGGTACACTTATATATATATATATATTCTCTGACACAAACTTATAATATTAATGTCACATGAGTATAAATGTCCTCGACACAGCAATCTCTTCAATAAATCACAGGTGCACTCACACACCACATATATATTTCGTGAGAGCTCTCTACAGCATCTCTCTGCACAACTGTGCCTTACTATGACATAGACATTGGTGAGCCCTGCTCACGACATAGAAGATACTCTGGCTAAAATAGCTGACTAAAGGGGAATGGGGAGGGAAAACTGAATTACCTACTTCCACCTCAATGATGTGGACTCACCCTTTGTTGAGAGTTGGATTGAAGCTCCTGGTTCCAGCTCTCAACTCGTAGGGAACGCCCCCACACACACACTGATGCTCTCTCCAGGAACCTCTTCAACACGTCAAAAAACGCGTCTTTCTGGGGGAGCCCCGTCGGCTCCCCGGAGCTTTACCAGGCTGATATGCTAATGTCAGACTTTGGCATCAGTCATGTGTATGGAGTTCTAGGGCCTACCGGGGACCACGGCCAGAACCTGGCCCCCTCAGAGAGGCAAGGGGAGCAATGGCCTATAGAAACCCCCGTGTGGTTGGAAGCATTCTATGTCTGCCATCGACCGGGTCAAGCATCCAGAAAGGTAAGCATTCCAAAACAAACCCCTATTCTGGTTAAAATTGCTACCAAAAGCCGAACTAGTGGATAGAACTCCCCAACAGAAAACAAGCAAACTAGTATGACGTCACACGTCACCGTGCCGCTGTCTGCGCAGCTCCCCCCTCCCCGGGAGGGGGAAGGGGGAGCCCCAGACCTCCCACGCCGGCTATCCACCCATCAGTTCTTCGGCTGATGCTATAGGCACCGGTTGTGTGCTCCGGCTCCAGTAGTTGTTTCAGCACTGTACCTAGAGTGTGGTGTCTGTCTTCTAGGTGGTGCGTGAGCCGGGAGTGAGTCTCCAGTACTCGGGCTGCATGCGCCTAGGGTTCCCTTCCCTAGGTGCCCTGTAAGTACTGCCCTTGGGGCTTGGGGCCACCTTCCACAAGTTCCTTGGGTTCTGCCCCTGCTAGGCCGTTTACTGCTTGGTTTTCGGCCGCTCTTTGTGTGCTCGGGTGTTCTGTCTCCCTTGTTCGCCTTAGGGTAAGGGGCAGTTTTGCACTGGTGGGGCGCAGGGTACTGTGCAGCTTGTCTTTACCAATCATGGCGGCCGGCTCTGTTCCGCTTGGGTACGCTGTCCTCTTGCGGGGTTTTCTTTTTCTTTTTGTTTATCTACCTGGTGGGGGGGGGGTCTGCCTTCGTTCTTGCCCCTTGTGTCCCTTGTGTTCTGAGTATTATTCTGGTGGTACCCCCTGCTAGGTCCCCGTGAGTGTACACGTCCCGGGGGTTCACCTCTTAGAAAGTTGTTTGGTAGCTTTGGGCGCCGGTTAGCAGTACCCTGCCTGGGATTACCTGAGCGCGAGTCCTCTTATAGTAAACGCTCGGGACCCTGGGAAACCCCTGGGGGGCGCGCGGGTTCGATGGATGTGACCCCAGAGTCCCCCCTCGCTTCTAGCGAGTTTGAGGGTTGCTCTCACCCC